TGTTGGTGATCTCTGCGTTGGGTGCAGGAGATGTAGGGGTGGTTGGTGCTTCACTGGTAGTACTCTCAGTGCTCGTCGGAGTAGTGGAAGTGTTTTCTTGTGAGTGTGGTGCGGCAGTTGCATTAACAGGTGCAGGAGAAGGTTGTTGAGGAGTATTATTATCACCGTGTGCACTGTTATCCCCTTTATTACTTAATGAACTTCGGTTCTGTTGTGGTGCTGTATTAGACGTTTGAGTTGGACCTTGTTCTGTAGTTGTTCTTGGTCCTGATTCCGGTCCATTTATTTGACGAGTGATGGCACTACCTGAATTCTCTTGATGGTGATCCGTTCCTTCAGCAAGAGAAGAACTTCCACTCTCACCCTTACCGTTTTCCCTTTGACCGTCTGCAGCTGAATGTTCGAGATTATCTTCCGTTGTTTGTGTCACATGTAATCCATCTGATTCCGTTCCATGTGAAGCTCCAGAAAGGTTTTGAGGTCGTGGTTCACTACTATCCGATCGCGGACTTCCAGAGGAACGTTCTTCCTTGTCAACCACTGAAGGTTTAGGTTTCCAATCCTTTCTGTCTTTCAGCCACTCTGAACACTTCTTATCAGCAGGATCACTACTCTTCCCAACACAAGTAATGACTTCGTTAATAGGTTCTCCATCCCACGGGGAATACAAGCCCTCAATATCCTGTGGCTTCGGTGCCCCTTCAGCAGCAGCAGCCGTCATGGTATACCCGCAGGCGCAGCACAGCACAACGGCCAACACACACATCACACGGCACATCATCATCATCATGAGATAGACAAGGGGTTTGTTTCACGTAAAAACACTGATCTAGAAAGAAAGAGAATCAAAAAAGCAAAAAAGAAAATAACTGAAGTATCAAACATGTTAGGACACACAAATCGATTACCATTATGGAAACTCACATCGTGAAAGTAAGACCTACCAGTTAAAGAATGCAATACAGCGCAATAACCTTAGTAAGAGTAAAAACAAAAAAAAAGCCCACACTCACAAATATGTCAAAAAAGGATGAACGCACCAGAAAACCACAAGCAAAAAAACACATTAAACATTAGCCCAATTTACCCAGTTAACATAGAAATATACCAACTATGAGTGTAAGTCTATGAGTGTGTATGTATACGCAATTATAAATATAAATTCATCTGTTATTATCATTTACTTCTTCCCTCTGCAAAAAGCAGCTCATCATCATCATCACAGTGCAAAGCCCAGGTGCACACACGCAGAGAGAGTCTCCAAGAACACACACACAAACAATGGAGTAGCAATAATAATAATTATAGGATAAACACACAAAACACATTAACATTAATAAACAAAAAAGAATGAAATAAACCCCAACAGGTCGAAAGATTAGTTAGACTGTAGTGTGGATGCATGCAAAAAAAAAAGAAAGAAAACAAAGGATGACCTGAGTCACACCACACAATCACAATTACAATCAGCACACAAGAATACAGGCCAGTGTAACCACAATCAGTAGTGGTACACGCATCCACAGAGAACTGCTGATACTGCTGCTGCTGTCTGCATTTCCCACACTTTGTTGGTTGCTTGATGATTCACTCCCTGCAGGTGTAGTGCCGCTCTCGGCTGTGGCAGTATCAGAACCATCACCACTCCCTGTGGGCGAAGTGTTAGGAGAGGCAGCAGAAGGTTGTGTTGCCGCAGGTCCGTTGTTATCTCCATTTTCACCCTCACGTGGTGTATGGTTATCCTTGCTTCCAGGTTGGCCATCAACTGAAGACTCACCAACACTTTCCTCAGTAGGTGTAGGAGTAGAAGCTGGAGTAGAAATAGGAGTAGGAGCAGGAGGTGTAGGAGTAGGAACAGGAGAAGGAGGTTCAGAAGAAGAAGAAGCACCACCACCAGATACAGCCTTACCAGCCGCAGCTTCTCCTTGTTCACCAGAAACACCAGTGGGAGCTGTTTGTATGGTTTCCTGATTTTCTCGAGTATTATTTATAGTTCGATCAGTCTCCTGCTGTGGTTGTGGACAAGGTTGATCAGATCCATCAGGGCAACTTTTTTTAGTCTTAGGACCACTGGTAATGCAACCTTCCGTCTCCGATGAATCCTTACAATCAGTAAGAGCACCTTCACGTTCACTGGTAATACGAGGACACTCTGAACTAGTAGACGCAGTTGTACAAGCATCACCATCACCACCATCAGATGATGGAGGTGGAGGAGGAGGACCCGGAGGTTGTGAAATAGCAACAGCAGGAGAGGCAGGTTTACAAGATTTTTCAGCAGACGGTTCAGTACCTGCAGGACAAGGACCACCAGAATCAACTGCAAGAGAAGGAGTCGCCTCAGCTGTCACACACAAAGAGACAACACTCAACAGCAAAGCGAGAAAACACAACACACGACACATCATCACGACAGCAAGATTTACTTTGTAGTTATAGGCCACTTGAATGCAGAAGAAAGAAGAAGAGATAAAGATAATCAATAGAAACACTCAATACATTAGAAACACAGACAGAGAGAAACAAAGGAGAGCACAACACACACCAATCAATCACACAAAACAACATGAGGAGCAATCGAAAAAATTAGTAACACTAAAAAGACAATACTCCAACATCACTCATAGTTCAATTAAAGACCAAGCCCAGAATTTCCAGCATGAAACAAAAATAATCCCATATTTCCCAGAAAAAGAAAAAAATATAAATTAAATATACGAACAGCTGATAAAGACAACAAACAAATATATAAGAGTGTCTTCGCCTGTCAGTATATATACAATTACAAACAAATATGTATATATATATTTTTCTATGACTTTTCCTTTACACAAACAATGCAGCACAAAGCACAGGGCACACAAGAAAACACCAATAGTAAAAGAAAACAAATTAATAATAAGGCCAAATTAACCAACCAAAGGAAAGAAATACACCACGTATGAATATAAACAGTTGTATACCCCATTACGCATGTATATATATTTTTTATTGTTTCTTTTCTCATTCCAAAAAAAACAGACTATCCCATTATACTGGGTAAAGCATAAAGTAGCCCAAAACACGCACAATAGAAAGACATATATAGAATAAAGACAATAATACAAAACAATAACATTATATACAAAACATGAAAACCCAACAGGTGGAAGATTAGTTAGAGTGTAAGTGATGAATTCAAAAAGAAAACAAAGGATGACCTGAATTACACCACCACAGAATCAGCACACAAGAACACAGGCCAGTGTAACCAAAATCAGTAGTGGCACACGCACCCACACAGAACTGCTGATACTGCTGCTGCTGCTGTCTGCATCACCCTTCTTATTGTTTGTGAGTTCAGGAGGAAGTGTTGTTGTTGT